TTGTGGAAGAGGTTGAAGCTGAAATCGAAGATGACCAACCTGAGATCGAAGAGGTTGAAGCTGAAATCGAAATTTCCAAACCGGTTGTGGAAGAGGTTGAAGCTGAAATTGAAGTAACCCAACCAGTAGTGGAAGAGGTTGAAGCTGAAATCGAAATCAGCAAACCTGAGATTGAAGAAGTTGAAGCTGAAATCGAAATTACCCAACCAGTTGTGGAAGAGGTTGAAGCTGAAATCGAAGTTGACCAACCTGAGATCGAAGAGGTTGAAGCTGAAATCGAAGTTTCTAAAACAGTTGTGGAAGAGGTTGAAACTGAAATTGAAGTCAGCAAACCTGAGATCGAAAAAGTTGAAGCTGAAATCGAAGAAACCCAACCAGTTGTGGAAGAGGTTGAAGCTGAAATCGAAGAAACCCAACCAGTTGTGGAAGAGGTTGAAGCTGAAATCGAAATTTCCAAACCAGTTGTGGAAGAGGTTGAAGCTGAAATTGAAGTAACCCAACCAGTAGTGGAAGAGGTTGAAGCTGAAATCGAAATCAGCAAACCTGAGATTGAAGAAGTTGAAGCTGAAATCGAAATTACCCAACCAGTTGTGGAAGAGGTTGAAGCTGAAATCGAAGTTGACCAACCTGAGATCGAAGAGGTTGAAGCTGAAATCGAAGTTTCTAAAACAGTTGTGGAAGAATTTGAAACTGAAATAGAAGTCAGCAAACCTGAGATCGAAAAAGTTGAAGCTGAAATCAAAGAAACCCAACCAGTTGTGGAAGAGGTTGAAGCTGAAATCGAAGTTTCCAAACTAGTTGTGGAAGAGGTTGAAACTGAAATTGAAGTAACACAACCAGTTGTAGAAGAGGTTGAAGCTGAAATTGAAGTCAGCAAACCTGAATTCGAAGAAGTTGAAGCTGAAATCGAAGTTACTCAACCAGATGTGGAAGAGGTTGAAGCTGAAATTGAAGTCAGCAAACCTGAGATCGAAGAGGTTGAAGCTGAAATCGAAGTAACCCAACCAGTCGTGGAAGAGGTTGAAGCTGATATCGAAGTCAGCAAACCTGAGATCGAAGAAGTTGAAGCTGATATCGAAGTCAGCAAACCTGAGATCGAAGAAGTTGAAGCTGAAATCGAAGAAACCCAACCAGTAGTGGAAGAAGTTGAAGCTGAAATTGAAGTTTCCAAACCAGTTGTGGAAGAGGTTGAAGCTGAAATTGAAGTTTCAGAACCAGTTGTGGAAGAGGTTGAAGCTGAAATTGAAGTTTCAGAACCAGTTGTGGAAGAGGTTGAAGCTGAAATTGAAGTTTCAGAACCAGTTGTGGAAGAGGTTGAAGCTGAAATAGAAGTTACTCAACCAGTTGTTGAAGAGGTTGAAGCTGAAATCGACGTAACCCAACCAGTAGTGGAAGAGGTTGAAGCTGAAATCGAAGTTACTCAACCAGTTGTGGAAGAGGTTGAAGCTGAAATCGAAGTTTCCAAACCAGTTGTGGAAGAGGTTGAAGCTGAAATTGAAGTTTCAGAACCAGTTGTGGAAGAGATTGAAGCTGAAATCGAAGTTTCCAAACCAGTTGTGGAAGAGGTTCAAGCTGAAATCGAAGAAACCCAACCAGTTGTGGAAGAGGTTGAAGCTGAAATTGAAGAAACCCAACCAGTTGTGGAAGAGGTTGAAGCTGAAATCGAAGAAACCCAACCAGTTGTGGAAGAGGTTGAAGCTGAAATCGACGTAACCCAACCAGTTGTGGAAGATGTTGAAACTGAAATTGAAGTCAGCAAACCTGAGATCGAAGAGGTTGAAGCTGAAATCGAAATAACCCAACCAGTAGTGGAAGAGGTTGAAGCTGAAATTGAAGTCAGCAAACCTGTGATTGAAGAAGTTGAAGCTGAAATCGAAGTTTCCAAGCCAGTTGTGGAAGAGGTTGAAGCTGAAATTGAAGTAACCCAACCAGTTGTGGAAGAGGTTGAAGCTGAAATCGAAGTCAGTAAACCTGAGGTCGAAGAAGTTGAAGCTGAAATCGAAATAACCCAACCAGTAGTGGAAGAGGTTGAAGCTGAAATTGAAGTCAGCAAACCTGTGATTGAAGAAGTTGAAGCTGAAATCGAAGTTTCCAAGCCAGTTGTGGAAGAGGTTGAAGCTGAAATTGAAGTAACCCAACCAGTTGTGGAAGAGGTTGAAGCTGAAATCGAAGTCAGTAAACCTGAGGTCGAAGAAGTTGAAGCTGAAATCGAAATAACCCAACCAGTAGTGGAAGAGGTTGAAGCTGAAATTGAAGTTTCCAAACCAGTAGTGGAAGAGGTTGAAGCTGAAATTGAAGATTCCAAACCAGTTGTGGAAGAGGTTGAAGCTGAAATCGAAGTTGGAAAACCTGAGATCGAAGAAGTTGAAGCTGAAATCGACGTAACCCAACCAGTTGTAGAAGAGGTTGAAGCTGAAATCGAAATTTCCAAACCAGTTGTGGAAGAGGTTGAAGCTGAAATTGAAGTTTCCAAACCAGTTGTGGAAGAGGTTGAAGCTGAAATCGAAGTTGACCAACCAGTAGTAGAAGAGGTTGAAGCTGAAATCGAAGTCAGCAAACCTGAAATCGAAGAAGTTGAAGCTGAAATCGAAGTTACTCAACCAGTTGTGGAAGAGGTTGATGCTGAAATCGAAGTTACTCAACCAGTTGTGGAAAAGGTTGAAGCTGAAATCGAAATTTCCAAACCAGTTGTGGAAGGGGTTGAAGCTGAAATCGAAGTCAGCAAACCAGAGATCGAAGAAGTTAAAGCTGAAATCGAAGTAACCCAACCTGTAGTGGAAGAGGTTGATGCTGAACTCGAAGTAACCCAACCAGTTGTGGAAGAGGTTGAAGCTGAAATCAAAGTTTCAGAACCAGTTGTGGAAGAGGTTGAAGCTGAAATCGAATTTAGCAAATCTGAGATCGAAGAAGTTGAAGCTGAAATCGAAGTAACCCAACCAGTAGTTGAAGAGGTTGAAGCTGAAATCGAAGTTTCCAAACCAGTTGTGGAAGAGGTTGAAGCTGAAATTGAAGTTTCAGAACCAGTTGTGGAAGAGGTTGAAGCTGAAATCGAAGTCAGCAAACCAGAGATCGAAGAAGTTAAAGCTGAAATCGAAGTAACCCAACCTGTAGTGGAAGAGGTTGATGCTGAACTCGAAGTAACCCAACCAGTTGTGGAAGAGGTTGAAGCTGAAATCGAAGTTTCAGAACCAGTTGTGGAAGAGGTTGAAGCTGAAATCGAATTTAGCAAATCTGAGATCGAAGAAGTTGAAGCTGAAATCGAAGTAACCCAACCAGTAGTTGAAGAGGTTGAAGCTGAAATCGAAGTTTCCAAACCAGTTGTGGAAGAGGTTGAAGCTGAAATCGAAGTTG